ACTATGGGCCTCTCTTAAAATCTCCCTTCGTAATTCCCACACCTTCGGAACACAAATTCTACCCTCGAAGACCAAGGCCCCATCAGATGCGACCGCAAACCCTCCAACTCTACCGGCTTCTGCAAACTCCTTCATCTGGCAAAGGAAACGATCATTCGGTTGCTCGGCGACGATCCTCTCACGAAGAGTCGGCCCCACAACAAAAGAGGTCAACATACCCCTGGTTGTCGAAGGCGGCTCTACTGCCTCTAGCTGTAGCCGCTCGAACTCTCGAAGAAGGACATCTTGCTTGGTAAAGAGACAGGACAACTGGCCATAACTCCTCTGACTAAGGTCATCGGCTACCACGTTGGCTTTCCCAGGATGGTAGCTAATCGTGCAATCGTAGTCTTTGACCAGTTCCAACCACCTACGCTGTCGCATATTCAGCTCCCTCTGAGTGAAAATGTACTTTAAGCTCTTGTGGTCGGTAAATATCTCACACTTGCCTCCATAGAGGTAGTGCCGCCAAATCTTCAAGGCATGAACGACTGCAGCTAACTCGAGATCGTGAGTGGGGTAGTTCTGCTCGTGAGGCTTCAGCTGCCTCGATGCATAGGCTACGACCCTCCCCTGCTGCATAAGAACACATCCCAAACCCATCTTCGAAGCGTCACTATAGATGGTGAACTCCAACGTAGGGTCGGGGATGGATAGAACGGGCGCGGTAGTGAGTCTCCTCTTCAACTCCTGGAAACTCTCTTCACACTTCTGACTCCAATCGAACCTCACGGCCTTCTTCGTAAGGTTGGTTAGTGGCTGGGCTATCTTCGAGAAGCCCTCGATAAACCTCCGGTAGTATCCTGCTAACCCCAAGAAACTACGAACATCTGCGACACTTATTGGCGTATCTCACTTGCTCACTGCCTCGATCTTGCTGGGATCCACCTCAATGCCTCTCGCTGTCACAATGTGGCCAAGGAATGCCACACGATCCAGCCAAAACTCTCACTTCGAGAACTTAGCATACAGCTTCTCGCGGCGAAGAGTCTCCAGCACAATCCTCAGATGCTCCTTGTGCTGTTCGATGCTCCGAGAGTAAACCAAGATGTCGTCGATGAACACGATAACAAACTGGTCCAGGAAGGGATGAAAGACCCTATTCATAAGGTCCATAAACACGGCCGGGGCATTACTGAGTCCGAACGACATGACTACGAACTCATAGTGGCCATAACGGGTACGGAAAGCGGTCTTAGAAATATCCGACTCCCGGATCTTCAGCTGATGATAACCAGAACGCAAGTCGATCTTAGAAAAGACACTGGCTCCCCTCAACTGGTCGAAGAGATCTTCAATGCGAGGAAGGGGATACTTGTTCTTGACTGTAAAGGCATTCAACTCCCGATAGTCAATACACATGCGCATCGATCCGTCTTTCTTCTTCACGAATAGGACGGGTGCTCCCCACGGCGAAACACTCAGACGAATAAAACCAAGATTGAGCAACTCCTGGATCTGGGCCTTGAGCTCTTGAAGCTCCTTCGGCGCCATACGATAAGGGGCCTTAGAAACAGGGCCGGCTCCTGGCACTAGATCAATGGTAAACTCCACTTGGCGGTCGGGCGGTCCTCCGGGCAATTCATCAGGAAAGACATCGAGATATTCGCAGACAATAGATACTATCTCTGGGGACCTCTCAGAATCGTCCTCGGATACCATAGAAACTAGATAGCCTTGACAGCTACCCTTAGAAAGACTCTTCCTCGCTTGCATAGAAGAAATGACTCGAGGCACGGTCCTCGACTTCACCCCATAGAAAATAACAGGCTGATCGGGAGTGGGGAAGAGACTGACTTCGCGCTCCTGGCACCGGATATCGGCTCGATAGCGAGTGAGCCAGTCCATGCCCAAGATCACATCGAAGTCTCGCATTTCAATAACATAGCAATCGGCCTCCAAAACACGCCCACCAATACTGACTGGAAGACTGGAAATCATAGAATCGGAAATAATGATCTTTCCCGAGGCTAGACTAACCTCGAGAGGGTCACAAGGGCACACATTATCAATAGACAGGGCATCCAAGCATCGAGAGGATATAAAGGAATGAGTAGCTCCAGTGTCACATAACGCAAAGATAGGCACATTGGATAAAGAAATCATGCCAGACATGGTACCTGCGTTGTTGGCTGCCTCGTCATGAGCAAGGGTATAGACTCGGGCCTGACCCCCAGACCTCTGCTGGTGTGGTGGGGGCTGTCTGTGCTGCTGCTGCTGCTGGTAAGGTGGAGGAGAAAGCTGCTGCTGCGGCTGCTGCTGAGTATGCTACCTCGGGGGCTCGGGGCAAGCACTGAAGAAATGACCGGGCTTCATGCAGTTGAAGCAAACTCGCTGGGTGTACCGGCACTCTCCCGGATGATAACGACCACAATTACGGCATTTCGGAAACTGGTCTCGTGCGAAGGGGCGCTCACCACGACGATCGTTCCCACCGCGCTTTCCCTTCCGGTTATCCCGGCGGGAATCAAACTTTCTCTTGCCCGAACTAGAGCTGGGCGGTGCGGAGGAAATAGGCTGAACTAGCTGAGCAGAAGGGGCAGAAACATTGGGAGTCTGATAACTCTCAAGATGGGTTGCTCGAATAACGGTCTTGTCAAAGGAAAGATTCCCCTGGCTAGCAACATGCATACGGAGGGTGTGGTTCAGACCATCACGGAACTTGTGGGCCTTCTTCAAATCAGTGTCCACCATATGTGGAGCAAAGGCGCTCATGCGGGTGAACTCCCGCTCGTACTCCTCAACGGTACCGGTCCCCTGAGTAAGATCCCAGAAAGCGTGCTCCATCCTCATGCGATAACCCTGAGGATAATACTTCTCCATGATCACCTCCTTCATGCGATCCCAAGTCAGGACATTAAGCTCTGCCTGCCTCAACCTCCAATAGCCGGACCACCATAAGGCAACACTTCACTTAAGCATATAACGACCACAAATAACCTTCTGCTCGTCAGAGCACTGCAGGAGGTCAAAGTTCTGCTCTAACTGACGGATCCACTCCGCCACAGCCTCGGGCCCTTCAGTCCCATGAAATTCTGGCGGAGTTAGACTCCGGAACTGGAGCACGATTTTGAGATGAGCCCCAGCCGGATTGGGAGCTTGCTGGTGAGGTGGAGATGGGGATGGAGACGGAGTAGGCTGACGGTTGCGAGCATTACGACGAGCCATAGTTCTACATTGAAAATGGGTCGAACAGTTTAGCACAATAATAAAGGAAGTCTAGAGTTCAACACTAGATTTCACATTTAAAGGTAGATTAGTCCTAACCCCGATTTCATTCCTATAATCAATAATACACAATAATCTCAAAGTCATTAAGGTACTCATACCTGAGCTGGCACGGCACGACGAGAGCGAGTGGTCTTAACATGATTTCGAAACACATAATCACATAATCAACTTTTTATTTTTAAACCAGTCTACCGAAACGCAACCTGGCTCTGATACCAAACTGTAACGCCCCACTTTTATTTACCGAAAATCGGGATAATTTTTTTTTTTCGAAATATATTTTCAAAAACAATATTTGAGGCGCTACTTATTTTCAAACAATAATCATTACTAAACACATTCTCAATATTCGACAATAATCAATACTCATAATCCATAATAAGATTCCAATAAAGCAAATCCAATAATAATCCTAGGGAAATAATCCCCTTCAATAATTCAATAATCACGTACTAGTGAAAAACAATAATCGATAATGCAATAATATCCACGTTCGGTTTTTCAA